GCGCTTGGGCAACAACCGCTTCCATGATTTTGGAGAGCCCCGGAAGTAGTGTTATCGGGCGGTATTTGGCCGGATCTGTACGATTTCCTCCCTTATGGATGGGAGTGAAGATGCCCTGCTTCCACATTGTTGGCACCCGCATCTCATCGAGGCATCGTTGGAAGTGTTGTGTCCCCAGGGGTTCGACTTAGCCGCTCCTTAGTTTGCACCACGCGAGTCAAAAGACAACGCACCGGACGGGAAGTATATTTGAGAAACACTGCACGGGCCGACTTGGGTATGAAAAACACTCTGATTACAGTTCAAATTACGGCTGAGTGCTAATTTGAATTAATCGATCCCAATGAATCACGGGGCATGTGAGTGATATGAAACAAGCGATTGTGACAAATGTTCTACTATACAGAAAACGCTAGTCTGATTGTAACTGAGACTGTTCTGACACAAGGCACACGGTAACTTGGGGAAATTGCGCACTTACCTTCCCGTTTCCGTGCGCATTTGACTTTGGTCTGACCTAACAGGAAGAACTTGCAGAGTGCGTCCGCCAGGTTTACTGCAGTCAATTTAAACGCTTTTGGAGGAATATTATCAACGCCGGGAGAGATATGCTGACGCAGGGCAATTAGCTTTCTCATAACAGTCTTACTCGTAAACACAATACGGCTAAGTCCTGGTGATGGTACAACGATCGGGAACAGTGTATGCGGCGATGTCGTGCTCTGGACGTTCGAGGCGAATTGTTGACCTAAGGCGTTGGCCGCCTCGGTTGCGGTTTGTGCGAGTCCACCTAACGCGTGTAAGGCAGGAATTCTTCGCTGCACTTTGCGGGACTTGTTTATGTGTCCGTACAGGAGCTTGCGGTTAGAAAGGAATTTCTCAGCTAGATTCTGTTGGTGCTGTATTTTGTCTTTGCGTACTAGGTTTATGCAGTGGTTCCTTTGGATAGTGTAGGCTTCCCATGTTTCAGCGCTCGATGACTCCTTGTCTCTTCGCCAGAGTAAGTCCCTCGTAACGATACATTTGCGGGTCCTGCTGCGTATGAATGATATTACTGTCTTTGCTCGCGAAGGACTTTTCTTAGAAGCACTACTTACTAACGTATTGAACTGGTGAGCAAATTCAGACCAGGCGTCATCGGGGGATCGTTCTGCTAGAAATGCCCAGTTTATAGCATTTATAAATTTGATTAAAGCGCCGTAATCTGTAATGAGCTGCCACTCGTCGGTGTTTTCTGAGGAATACTCTGCATAACAGATGTACTTCAACATGAGGGTTGCATGGTCGCCACGGCCTAAAGGACTCTCTATCGATACCGTTTTGATCATAAGCTCTTCATTGGTGAATCCGAGATCCAGGACAACCGGTTTGTTTCCCGACCTTAATCTTGTGGGAGATGTGATGTGATTGTAGAGTGATAGTCCACTAATTATCTCATGTACTTCATTTTGAAGTGTTCGTTGATACAGTCTGGGGTTTGTATGGTATGAATATTGAAGTCACCAACCAGGAGAATGTGGCTGTATGACTGCGAGAGAACGGTCTTCATTGTGGAGGCTAGACGATTGTCCATTTCCAAAGTAGCCGACGGAGGACGATACACCACACCCAACAAGCATCCGTCCCCAAGGCTTGGATAAAGACGACACAAAAGCGCATCGACAATCTGAACCTCTAGGGCATCAATGAGATCAAGGTATAGTTTGTTGCGATAATAAGGTAGTACTCCACCTCCTCTACTTGATCGATCGTTGCGTAGAATAGACCTCCCACGTAGTGCGATTTCTGCATCAGTGATCGCTTCATTCAACCAGGTCTCGGTTATCCTAACGAGGTCCCTTGACATCGATGCCTGACGCATGCGAAGCTCCATCAGCTTGCTTAAAAGACCTTGTGCGTTGGTATAAAACAGGAGAGTGATTCATAGGTTAGAAGGTTGTTTGTGGATGTAGACAACAGGTTTGAGACTTTGCCGACCCTCTTGAGGTCGGCTGCTACTAGTTTTTTTGAATTGTCTTAAGCTCTCGACAATGAATTCGAATAATTCTTTGCACCATGTGATCAGGTTTATGATGATTCTGATGGTCACTCACCTCCTGCAGTGTCTCGCCGGATGCTATGACTGCAGTCAGATCAGTCTCTGTGGTGGACTCTGCAACAACGGTTGTTCCCACTGAGTTGGTTCTCTCTATGGAGTAACCAGTAGCCTCTGGTCATAAAGCTGCTGCTTTTAGTCGAATTTCTGTTGGTAGCATGTTCCGGAATTTACCCCAGTTCTCTAGAACTGTCTGTAAAGTTAGCTCAGACGGTAAGGCCAACTTCAGCAACCTAGGACCACACCCTTTGTAATTTGGTGACACGGTGATCCTGGTCAGGGACGTAGCAATGACATTTGCTAAAAACAGGGCTTCACGAATATATCGTCAATGCTCCAGGTCATGTGCCTGAAATTATTCAGGAGATGAAGCTTGAGACTCAGGGACGTCATGAATAATGATGGTTTTCAGCGCGTGTTTTCTATTTCCCTGTTGCTTGTTCATATCCTTTGAACGTTCTTTCCACAGAATATCTGGTAAGATACATACTCCGTTCGATGCTATGTGATGTCGATTTGCAGCGAGCAGAATGGATTCCATTTCTTCCGCGGAATGTAGTGTTACTCGAAGTAGTCGAGGTTCACCGTAGTGTAAGTTGTTTGGGTGTCTTGCGATGTGGCTCAGCGCAGTGGGTTCAGCGCGCATGCTGATGGCACTACAGATGGAATCCCACTGACTACGATCGTCTATCAGTTTGCCCCTTATTGTGTTGGATTTGGATTCATGAACGTTAGTGCACACAAGAGTTAAGGCACCATGATTCCGCCTTGTGGTTCGCGACTTAAGAGCACTACGTTCTTTTGTTTTTGTGGATTTGTGAACGGCATTGGCGGTAGCGATCCATGTTGAGGCACAGTTTTGACCTATCCGGTAAGTGCAGTCACAGGTGTCTTTGACGGCCTTTTCCTAGGAACAACCGCTGCATAAGATGTCCATTTATTTTTTACCGTGGGTTTGCTGGAGTTTTGTGTTTGGAGTATGTCAACTGAATGGCTAGTTATTGCACCCTTGTAGAACGTAGAAGCAAGTGGGTTGTAAACAAATCTTTCAGTTGGTAGAGTCATGTGGCTAGGGGGTTTGGGGACTGAGACGCAATGGTGAGTTTGGGACGCCTGGCCCTATTCTTCGGCCTAAACGGGGAGTTTGTAGGTGTCCCTTCAGTTTCAAATATAGCATTGTTTACTTTCACAAATGCGTTGCTAGCGTTCACCAGTTGCTCAACTGTTTCCGCCAGCTTTTCACAATTTTTATTAGCAAAATTACACAACTAACAACAGGGATGGATATGCATACTTGTCAGAACCAAAATGCTTCGGTTTTGCTGATGTATTGTCTAGTTTCGAGTGCCCTCATCCATAAACACTTCGAATGGTACGCTTTTTGACAGTTAACGCAAACTGGACCAGACTTAACGCTTTTTACAGATAGGTCACAATTGAGTTTCGAATGGGCAATATCCACTTGGGACGTGCACTTTGTTATTGTAACTTGCACCAATTCCAAGAGGGATTAGATAGAAAAGCAGAATTCAGAATCTATGTTGTAGATCGAAATTGGGTATTACCCACCCGAAAACACTGCACAACCACGACGCGTTTCGATGTAATTTCATCTCATCAGGATGTAGATCTCTTACTTACCACTAGCTTAGGATGGAATAATTCTATCGAGATATGTGGTCACGGTCAGTGAAGGGGCAGCGAATTAGGAATGACCGCAGATGGGGATGATATGGTGTAACGATTCCCCACTAACAAGATGGAATGAAGTAACTGGATGTGTACAATACAACTTGGTAGCAAGAGGATAGAGATACTGTCGCACAGTGTATGACTTCGCTTCAATTTTCTTTGCGTGGCGATCGGCGCTGGTTTGAGTTCAGGGGGTCAGAGGTGTAGCGTCCAGATGAGTCACAAGTTCCTGATGGTAGATAGGCGACGTGCGTGCTACTGATCCAGCCGGTAAGTGAATAGGCAGCGAGGCAGCGTAGGAATGAGGCAAAGCAGGATGACTTGAAAAATACTGTCTAATGACGATAGTGGCTACACCAAAGACGGACCAAATTAACAACTATCGCTTTGTACAGCGAATAGAAGGAGTGGTAGTAAGATGTTCGGGTGACTCTCAAAAAGATCTTTAAAATAAGACCAACAGAGTTCTTGTGCGAGGAGAAGAAAAATAAATTTTCTGATAGAATTCAAGTATGGTTGACTTCGAACTTGCAAAAGCACTGTTTGCTGGTGATCCGCGAATGACAGATCCAAAGAATGAACAGTGGTAGGAGGAGCTCGCGGAGCCAGATCGAATGATAGTAAATAGGTCTCTGTGAGAATATATCCGAAGGTTTAAGGGCGAATAACGCAGGAGGACACTTTTTGCAACCGCCATCCAGCCGTAGTAAATCTAGAAGCGTATACATAACAATGGCTTTGCTCATCTGTATATGATATATGAAATGCAAATGATGCGCACATCTCCCAATACTATCTAGCTGTTAGCCAATGTATTACATTGTCAACAGGAAGGACGCATTCGTTAAATTAACTGTTAATAGCACATGATTTTGTTGTGCACAGCTTCGAGGTTTAGGGATACGCTATGGCGTGCCAATTGCGCCTCTGGACAAATCATTTTGATAGGGCAGTACAGTATTCAAACATATTCACGAATTCGGACTGGCAAATATCCAGGTAAGAAACCTTTCTTCCTGACTCAGTTAGAGAAGAAAGTGTACTCAGTAACACGTATTGCTATAAAAAGTAATCAGTTTTAGCATGTTTTTATCAGTTACGTAATATTCCTCACCCATTTCGACAAACTATGAAGAAATCTGCCGTATGAAATCAAATAAAGAAGGGTGTTTCTTAGTACTCTTACTTTCAACTGCTTATTTGATGTAACCAGGTTTGATTTGTTTGAACGATCTGGAGAGACGAAGAAAGTCCGCAGAGCTGGCTCGTGAGGTGTGGCAAAAATCCATGATTGAACTGACCTATCAGCTAACCACAATTTATCCCCCTGAGACCCAAATCCAGTTGGATTCAATTACACCGGCCACCTTGGCATACTTTGGACAGGTGTTATCAAAGCTTCGACCAGAAAAGCTATGTCAGGATTCTGAACATTTAACCTGGCAATGGGGACGAAGAATGTATGAGTGAGTTTGTGTTCAGTTCTTTGTTCCTAGCATCAGACAATGTAGCAGAACAATGCATATTGATTTATGTCAGGTAAAAATGCAGTTTCTTGACATGTCCCGCTGGTTGGTGAGGGTAGATACAATTATCAAAAGCTAGGTGAGTTGTCTGTTTGAGCGTTTATCTAGCAGATGCACTGCTGTATAACAGTAGTGCAAGTGAGAATTGAATGTGAAGGAGGAGACAAAATGAGGACAGTTATATTTGTTGTACTCCATGAGAAAAGTAAAATTAAAACGAGAATACTCACTTTGTTTATGTAACAGGCTAATCCGGTTTGGAGGGATAATTAATATATTCCAAATTTGCTTATTTTAAGCAACGAACAGATAGGGCCCAAGGACTACATCCAAACATTTTTTTGAAAATATCCAAGGGTGAAGGAAACAACGAAGTTTGGGAGAGATTACCAGGTTTGGCAAACCGGAAGAGAAAGATAATTCCGTTGGCATTTCAGGCGGCTAAACTGTGCACACAATTTTAGACTTACCTCAGAGATTAGTGTTATGGCTGGTTTTCAGCAAGTGACTGCGTACATGATTAGGGTCACTCAATATTTCCTAGATTAATATGAAATCGCCGCTCAGTCTTCGGTAGTGGCCACTGAAAACTCCCAGTGACTTCAGCCTTTGATGTTAGAACAGATTTCCTAGGCCCTTGCCGTTCTTCGTGACCCTGCTTTGTGGTTTCTCTAGCACTTTTATGTCCCGCTTCAACCAAGGTTGCCAAGCTTGAATAGGGTATTCAACGTGAGCGCGCACATAAGAAGTGTACGGAATGGGGAAGATGGATGGGTCGAATCTTCCGAATGCTCTCCGCAGCAAGCCGAGGTGCGGGTTGGCTCTCTTCGCAGCTGCCTCTGACTGCTTTGAACAGTTAAGGTCACTTTGAATAAGTATACCAAGGTCAAGTTCTTAAGAAGTTGTTTTCAATACATGTGAGCCAGGCCTATACACGTAGTCATGTCTATAGCGTAATTTAACAACGTGACATTTTTCCAAATTGTACGGTAGAGTATTCATGACTGACCAGTTTGAAACCTTGTTGTCACGCTTGAACTTTTCGTGGTCGTTAGGTTCTTTGATCGCTCGACATAACTTGATATCACCCGCGAAGAACGGGAAATCGGAAGTAATTTTCCTCGTCAGATCGTTTATGAAAATAAAGAATAGACGGGGCCCGAGCTCCGAGCGTTGTGGTACGCCTCACTCTACCTCAGTTGCGTCGGACAGTGATTCTCGTACTCTCACTACCAACCGACGTTCGTGTAGGAAATTGCCTATCCAACGCAGCAGTGGGTCACCAACGTCACAGAGCTGAAGTTTTTATGGAGAAGAATTTGTTGGTCTGATCGATCAAACGCTCTTGAGAAGTTCAAGTAATGATATCAACTCCTGCTCCGCCATCAACTGCTTCAGTCCAGCTGTTGCGTACAGTTAACGAGTTCCTAGTGCATGAGCGCTTTTGTCGGAAGCCATGTTGCTCTGATGCTATCATCTTGTGATATTCCAGATATAACATGAGTGCATCAGCAGTGATAGACTCCATAACCTTGGAAAGCACAGGGAGTAGCGTTATAGGACGGTAATCATTTGGGTCAGTGTGACTACCTCCCATATGAATAGGAGTGATAACCCATCGTCTCCATATTGTTGGAATATGGTTCTGCTCCATATAGGGCTGACAGAATATAACCAGATGTTCCGCCAGACCACTGGCTGCTGCCTGTAAAGCCTTCGACTGAATATTATGGACACCAGGATAGCTGTGGGTACGCAGGAACAACAGTTTCTATGACACACTATCTGCAGTACAAGTAATATTGGATAAAGCTGACGGTGGGACAATAGAAACAGGGATAACCGTTGGGCTCGTCACTCTCTGAAACGTGTGAATAATGGAACCGTAAGAGATCGACTACTTCCGTTGCTGATCGTGTGTATCGGTCAGTCGTGATCAGTGCTGGAATTCCGCACTGGAGCTTACGAAGGCCATTAACATGCCTGTATAAGAGTTTGTGGTTCGTGCAGAATCACTTCATTACCCCTGCTGATGCATCAGCTGTACCACCAAGTGACCAAACAAAATTTTATACTCAAAGCTTCATGAAAGGTTACTACTACTAAACTAAATGTATATCACCTTATCTGGATATTGAATGGCTATTTTCAATTTAATTATCTCAAGTTGCCATTGAATTTGCCTGGAAAACAATCAATCATGACCTTAAGTTAATGTAGATGTGTTGCTTGATGGGTCAAAGTAACCGAATGTTGATAAAACATCCTAGAGTTAGAACCACAGAAACAAAAGTTAGTGAAGAAGCTCATTTTTGGTGTATCTCATCACGCAACTACATCACAAATGTATGAAGTGATTGCAAACATTAGATAGGAGTAACGGTAAAATAAAACCCGATGGTCTGAGTGTCCAAGCTAGATGACTGGTCCCACGGCGATCAAGAGTGTGTTTGTGTGTGTGGTGTTGTTTACACGGTGTCAGGGGACCAGGGTAGAGTGAAGACCCAGATACCTTTCTTATGCGCACCTAGGTCAAGGTCATGGATCCTAATGGTGGTCGCTTCAGCCGCTACCAGTAGGCAACAATTGACCGTTCATGTGTGGCATCTGGGTCCGCGACAGATGGGCTGCAAAGTCTCGTGACGTAACTTGGCGTTTTGAATCCGCAAGGTGTGCAGATGCCGCGCTTGCCAACATGGACAGTGTTCGCTAGCTATCTCGGAATGATGGGTAACAATCGCATTAGCAGGCTAACAATTATGAAAGATAATTACGAACCTAGATAGCTACAAAACTGCGAATTGCTAACGCCGGACATTTGCAATTTGAATGTGCAACTGGGTAACGTTACTCTCGGTTTCCGATAAGGGTGGATTGAGACAACTGATTGATTCAACCACTGCATCTAATTGATGTGCAATACTGACCACACCCTACGTGTTGAAACCTTGGGTGTTATGCTTTTCCAGGTATGATAGAGGTTACTGGGAAGAAGCCAGCAAATATTGCCTATTCTTCCCAGTCGGTAAGTAGAAGTTTCAATGTCTTACTCACCAGTTGCGGTCTTCGTAAATTTACGCTGGTCACTTCATGTCCTCCTTAACACACAGGACAACGAAAGACCGCTAGAATTCAACAAATCCATGCAAAGAACCACGACATTGCCTCAGACCCCGCTTTTAGCCAATAACTCGGATAATACGTTTTAGGTTTACCGAAAATTCAACACCTATTTTACATTATTCTTGGTCAAGTAACTTTATGAAATAAATTAATGGTCCTAAAATTTATATACAACTATAGAAATAAAGTTTAATTATCTGAATACATCCATCAGCTTCATTTGTCAACCTTTATCATTGAGACAAAACGCTACTGGCGTTTGTAACACGTGGAGCATGATTCCTCGGTCTAATAGAAACACTTATGTTGGAAGTAATGGTAACCTTAGCCAACTAAAAAGGGGCATAACACATACATACACTAAAATTCTGCGTTCAGCAACTACTGTGAAATAATGACAACACTGTGTTCGTATATTATGCGACTTATTGCGGATATTTGGTGCCATGTACCCGGGGAATCGCTGACCACACAAACGAAGTCAGATTCCTCCTCCAACCACATGATTAAATAAGTTTAATATAGTAAAATTGGGTAAACTGGATTGTTTTGACGTTATCCGAATTAGTCTGATCATCATTAACACAACTAACTTACACAGAAAAACCTGAAGTTGATAAGCTGAAATTTGGTGACTTAAAGTTGATTGAATCTGGATTGGCATAGCAGTAAATATTTTCATGCAAATGAAACACATGTTTTACTCAATTTTAGCATTATGCGTTCTCTGGCCTTCACATTTCGAGGCGAGCCAATCAGTTTTATGCCAAACGGAGGTCTCAATGTCTCAACAATGTATGTTTACAACTCAAGAACAACTTCCGGTAGAATGGATTGGCATAAAGTAAGTCAAGAACTAGCATCTGTCTGATTTGCAGTAAGATTCACACAATTTGCATAAACTTATTAGTCGAAAGCCTCCAGTATCAGCAGTTTTACTTCAGCTGATCAGTTTCGGTCGCAATGAAAATTCACGTAATGTACAGATCGACACCTGTACATTTTTGTGTGAGTAAAACAAGTTTCCACTGAGAAGTAATATTTCACATGTTAGTAGGTACAAACGCGGCTTGAGTAGTAAGTCGATAGGTTTGGAGAAATGTACTTCCACATTTGCTTCTTCTTGTGACTTTGAGCAGTCATAGGAGGCACACACCTAAAGGACGGTGAGTAGCCTTGGTTGCCCATCCGTGAGTGTTACACCTCAAATACTGAGCATGAGGATTTTGGGAAGAAAGCTGGGAATATATCCCTCGGGCTACTTGTTCCTTGAGGACATTCCGCAACACAGATAACAAGGTAAGAAACCGGCCCTCAACCTAAAATTAGAAAGTGAACACTAGCCCGTTCCATTATTGATGCACTCAGTAAGCCTGCTCTTAAAGCGAGGATGAGCAATCAGTCTACTTCAGAGTACACTTATTTTTGAGCAATTTTTATTTAGTCGGGATGTTGCGCGCGCTGCTAAGTCGGTTGATATTACTTGGTTCAAACAATGTTGATATATTTGGTGCGTTATCGGTTAATGCACATCTTAAGTCATGTACTAAGTTCATTCGGCTAGTTGCTTTGAAGCGTGATCCCCCTGGTCACAAGGGAACAGATTACAGTGGCCTCAACTGTTTTAACCATGTTTTCCAAGTCCATTTATCATAACAGCATCCCATCGCTTATGTGTATCAATCCGTGTTGAACAGCAATATCCTATTTTGTCGCTTCTACCTTGTGAATATGCCTTCGCTGTTTTACTTGGTCGACTATACCTGTGCTCCCAACTTAGTGTTCACGCAACCTTGTAACGACTTCTTGACTCAAAAGAATAACGATGGACGAACGAGCTGATACAGACGCCATCTATTTGGGTGCTTGTGTTCGTATTTTAGGTAATACAAGCTATTAATCAAAATTGTCTAATTCACTGACCACTCCCTAATGATTAGTCACTGATTTCGAATCAATTGTGATTAGGCGAGTAGTTAGATGTTTTCATATATTCTTTTTGCCGACAGATGGATGACCCAACCCTCTTATTGAAATTTACCCCTGTAACATTTTTTACCTATTTGGGGGCAATTATCCCTAGGTTGCGAACCAACGAACTACACAGAAATGAACCACTTTCCGGCGGAGACAGTAATTTAATTGATATCCCTTGCACTGGAAATTGTTTTGTCAACATGAACAAACTGACCTCCTCCAGGCCAAAGTAAGGGTAATTAAAACATAGAGTAACACGGTGCAGAGTGTGTCTCATCTGAACTACTTAATTCGCATCCGTTTTGTCTAATCCTCTGCATTTATTGGAATTAATAAGAGTGGGCACTCTATCCTAGGACTTAATCCTACTGATTTTAGTGATGACGTTTTATCACACAGAACACTAGTTGACAGCATTCAGTATTATACGGCGCAGCAACTATTCAGTACACACTTGAGAATTCGCGTGCGAAGAGTATTAGGCAAAGTGAACCGCTGGATGTTAGGACGTAGGTTCGCTCGACGAGATGAGTAATTTGATTGCAGTCGTCCGTCCCTAATCGAGAGGACAACTTCAACGCAAATCTGGCGTGATTGCATAAATGCTTCCCATGGGGGTACGGTCCGCACAATTGGTGTGTCTACTCCGAGTTAGGGTGCACCTGCATCCTCGTGTGATGATACTGTCAAGGCTGAAATTTCGCCAACTTATTAGTGAATACTGTGGAGACTTAGCAACACGAAAGTTATTTGTATAGCCGCATCTGGAAACCCTCATTTTCACTGACTAAATGTGTTGACGATCATTCCCGAAATTTTATGTCAGAAAAGCGCCTGACAGGAATTTGCTTAAATTCTGATGAGAATATGTGCGATTTGGCATTGTCACATAAGTACGATTCTATGACGGATTGGTGGTGCATTCTCTTGAGATACGGTCCTGGCGCTTAGAGTGAAAGCACCTTGTTTTCCAAGGATTGGAACAACTATATAATAAGGGTAAAAGGACCAGGCTTAACAAGTCCCATTGGACTGGTTTGAAATGCATTAGCAAAATGCGAAAATTACCAACCAGGTAAACCGCGTAAAGTTCGCACAATAATATCCACGGCAGCACACATGTACAGGAACCAACCTCGATTTCGAGGTGGCTGACGTACTTACTGCATGTTATCGTTTTAGTAAATAAATCAAAGACGGCCATGCCACGTAATGGGAATATGGTTAGCGGTATCCATGTCCGTAATTGCCTGTCACCGTGGCCTCTATAGGACAGTCACAGGACTACTGCACCTACAGATGGACCATGGTTAGTTTTGTGTTTCACCACCGACAGCTCCATGCAAACACCATATATTCAGCGTAACTCCGAAGGAATAAAACCCGTAGACATGCGGATGGGAGCCAAGTTTCATTAACGTAGTCGACCCACACTCCTTCACAGACAAACAGACGCACCCTGTATTTGGTGAACCTAGCACACACAACGCGGTGTCTGGACCGTAGTCCACAACACACCGAGTTCATGGAACCACTCTTCGGGCCCAGCACGGTAACGAGGGCCGTCCCATCCAGCAACGACCAAATTGCTGCTGGAGCCAGTATAGACGACTTAGAAGGCAAAAGACAGGTAGGCACCTTGTCAACATGCACATCAAGTGCACCCACACGGGAGATGTCAAACACAGCCAAACAATTGAAATGAGAATAAGAAATAATATATACATATATTTATATAAACTAACGCAAACGAAAATGCCTGCCTGACTCAGGCACTCGCGACCGCATGTGTTACAGCACCATGCGCTCGATGTCGATGGAGAACAACCCATCGGCGCATGGCGCTTACGCACCTGCCGTTGCTTCTCTGGATATACGAGTGCATTCTCTTGCGCCTCCGCAAATGCGTTTATGATTAAATCACACCATGCACGCCGATCAAAGCCATTGATTCCATGACCTGCAGTCAGCATCAGAACGTGATAGGCACACTTTCATCATGTCCTGGTAACGTAAAGCTGGTTTCCCCGCATGCTGCTTCCTAGTACTCAGGAGGCCATATACTAATATTTAGATATCCGCGTCGAATCCATACGGCCCACATGACCGCGCCACGTCAGGTGTCTCAACAAAGTATGCAGTCCACTGCATACATTCCACTCCGGCGCAACACCTTTTTCTCCTCAACTCTGTCGCACCAACCGATGCGAAGAATCCGTCGCAAACACTGTTGTTGGAATCGCTCGAGATATCGCACATCCCGCAGGTACATCGTCCACGTTTCACTGCCGTACAAAAGGACAGACAGCCACATGGATTTGTGCACCATCAACTTCGTGCCAACGGTAAGCTGGTGGTTGTTCCACACTCGGTACTCCAGCTTCCTGAATGTCACCGCTGCCTTCGAGACGCAGATACGCACCTCACGGTATATTTGACGGTCAGTAGAAACCACACCTCAAACGTAGCAGGAGCAAGAGGTGGTTGCCAATACGTCAAAATCAATGCTGATTTGCAGCATCATTGCAGATTACACTTCCAATGAAGGCTGAAAGACAGACTGTGTTTGCTTGTGTTGATGGTGAGCCCGAATTTGGCCGCTGTTGAAGCCAGAGCACTAGTCATATGCTGCAACTCATCCGCGCTGTGTGCAAACAACGCACAGTTGTCAGTAAATAGCAACAAACGGATAGTTGTCTCACAGACTAGAATTCTCGCACTGAATCGACGGATGTTCAACGACCCACTATCAATACGGTGCTTCACACGAATACCGCAAGCACAAGCCACATCAAAAACATGACATCATTGCATGAAGATAAATATTAAAGAAGACAGGAGCTAAGACACGGTCTTGCTTCACACAGGTGACAACTGCAGTCATCCGAGGTCTGTCTATTCAGCTGCAACTTCGCCCGCATACCACTGTACAGTCATCCAATTAAACTTAAAATTACTTCATGAACCAAACGTCTTCAACACCAGCAAACATTCCTCGCGGTTCACCGTACCAAATGCTTTAATGAAATCAACAAACGGCCAGTACAACGGCTAGTGTAACTATTTGCACTTCTTCTGCAACCGACGAGCAGCAAACACCATATCGATGGCGCTACGACGCGAACGGAATCCAAATTGTTTTTCAGCCATGATCGGTTCAAAAACCTGACATACTAGGATGTTGAGCAGGATTTGGGCAATCACCTTGCTCACACAACTGAACAAGTTGATACCACGGTAATTCGTACAGCACTGTTTGCTTCCTTTGTCCTTGTACAGTGGTAGCACAAGGGCATCCTACAGCTCAGGAGCCACCTCCTCCTAAATCCACACGCGACGCAGCAAGTGGTGCGGCTCATTCACCAACGAAAGTCCGCTGTGTTTTAATACTTTAGGCGGCATCTTGTCCGCACCGGCACGCTTACAATTTCACAGCTGAGCAAGCGGTCACTGCGTCTCATCCAATGTCGTAGCGTCCTCCAATCTCACCTTCATATCTTGCTGCTTCAGTCCGTTCAAATTATGTCAGACACCCGCTGGACGGTTGTTTAGGAGATAGTGAAAGTCTTTCCGCCAGATCTGCCTTATATCTGCAGTTTGTGTGCAGGTAGCGCCTGAACTAAAATCGATAAGCTTCCTTAGTGACTGCAAACGTGGTCCATACATCACGTTCAAAGAGTCAAATAACGCCTTGTGTTGGTGACGTTGGGCGTAGCATTCCATCGACTTTGCATTCTCCACCTACCATGGATTTTCATGCGGTTAAGCTCTCAAGTCCTTCGACGTCTGAGCTCGCATATATATATATATATATATATATATATATATATATACGAGCAATAATACAACCGGCTTGGTGCTAGAATG